AACTCTTTAGATAGATACTTCATTGATCCCGTGAGGGAAATTTGCAGGGGCCGGAGAAGTTAAATGTGCTGTTCTGGGAATCGGGCACGGACGGCCTTGTGCCCTTGTGCAACGCTGCCGATCAGCCCGACCGTCAACAGGAAATTAAGCCAGGTTCCAGGAACAGACCCTTCCGCTATTTATGTGTCGGCAAGACAGACCGCAGGGGCTTTCAGCCGATCTCCAGCGGCTGATTGAGCCTCTCGGGCCTGAGTGGATGGGAGTCTCACCCCTGGGGTTCGCTCTTGCATTAGGGGGGACACTCAGAGAACTGGGGGCCCCGAGTCACCCCTTCAGTGTTCAGCTCTCCCACCTCCCCCCAGTCACACTACCCCGAATCCAGGGAGGTGCCACACTGGTCACCCCACACACAAGCAGGATGTCCTCTGACCCCTGACCTCGCCACCCTCCCTCTCCCTCCCCGGGCTGATGAGCCTCGGACCCGGGACCAGAACCCCAGCCTGTCAGTTCCCTGCGCCCGGAGCCCAGAGCTCTCCCTGCCTCCTGGCCCAGGCCGGGGCGCGCGTCTGTCCGGACAAGTGCAGTGAACACCACTCTGACCAGCACAGAAGAACCCAGAGCCTGCGGTTTCCGAAAACTCGTTTATTCACAAAGGGAGCATCTTGATGAGGACAGAGAGGATGGGATCTGCAGCGCAACAGATCCGCACACGAGCGGAGGTCTGGATTCACGCCGACAGGCGCACACCGTCTCTGCGTCAGGGTGGGGTGACTCTGCCGCCAGCAGATGTTCAAAGCTTTTTGCCCCAAGCAAGGGTTGTCCGTATTATTCGGGAAAAACCCAGCAATCTGATCATTTTTGCAATTCTAGTCACGCAGCAGAACGGACCCCAGGGCAGACGGCTCCCCTGGGGGGGGGAGTTTTCCCAAAAGCCTGGCCTGCTCTCCTGCCCCGCTCCTCTCCGGCACACGTCAGGAATCAACTGGGAAGCGGCTGTGTGACGGCCAGCTCATTCGAACCCGCGGCAGGAGGAGCTGGCGGCTCAGTCACACCCCCCGCGGCGGAGAGACGGGCCGGCGCGGGTCCGAAGGCAGGGAGGGGCCGCTGGCGCGGGGTGCGGGGCGCCCGGCGGCCCCCCTACTTCCCGAAGACGCTCTTGGGCGGCTGCTCCTTCGGCTTGTCGAACACGGTCTCCGTTCCCGTCCGCACGCCGCTGAACACGGAAGGCGCCGCCTTGCCCGCTCGCTCTGAAACGACAGCGGTCGGCGCAGTCAGGAGGCCGCGCCCGTGCCAGCCTCCGCTCTCCGTCGCTCAGCGATCGGTGTGAACGGGTAACCAGGCGGGCAGGGCAGCTCGACCCTCTTCCCAGCTCGACAGCGGGGGGGATGAGGCTTCCGTGACCCTTGACCCCGAGCGAAGCAGGAGCTGTGTGGTGACCCCTCTGCTCTCCCTTCCCCGCAAATAGAGACTCCATCTCCCCCAGTTTCAGGCTCTGCTGGTCTCGAACCAGGAGCATGGCAAGGGGGCAAGGGAGAGCAGAGGAGAGTCCGAGCTGAAAAACATCCGCTGGGGCTCTGTCTGCCACAGCTGCGTCCCGTCCTGGCTCCTCTGTGAGATCCTGTGTCCCTGTTCCTGCCGCACCCACCCCGCACGGCCTCGTCACTTGTGCGCCCCCTAGTGGGTGCTGGCAGACTGAGTCAGTCCCTGCCCCCGAGATCCCTTGGCGCCCAGGCTGTGGCCCGGCGGGGGGGTTTCGGGGCTGTGGAGAACTGCGACAGCACCAAAACAGAAGTGGAATTTCACAGGGGCCACGGCAGCCCGTGTCCTACAGGAACACCGGCAAACTCCGGGCCGTGCCAGCCTGCAGGCTCACCCCTGTCCCCCGCGCGAGCGCCGTGGCGCAGCAGGCTGGGAGAGCAGCCAGAGGGCGTCAGCGAGCCCCGTCACGAGCAGCCTGGGACAGTGTCCTGGCGAGGACCGGCTCTCTCTCCCTATAGAAGGAGTGGAAATTCAGAGGCTCTGAGGAATGAGCAGCTGGGCCTGAGGGCTGGCCCAGCCTGCGGCGCTTTCCCACACTGCTGCCTGTCTCTCTCCCCTCTCCTCCTCCTCCTCTGAGCCTGCTGCCTGCTGTACAGCATCACTGCCCTTCCCAGAACCTTTCAATGTTTGGAATGGTAAGTCCTTGGAACCCATACATATAGAGAGAGCCTTGCCTCGTGTGAACTAGGGGGTTTATAACCTTCGTCCCAGGGCGCTATATAGAAATGAATGTCAGTCTCGCCCTGGAGCTCCACGGGCCGCAGGGAGACCCCCTCCACCCCCCGCTGGGCCGCCCCGTGACACTCACCGCACTCCATCATCACCTCGTAGGTCTTGGACTTGACCTCCCCCTTCAGCCCCAGCTTGCTCCGCGCCCCCTTCAGGTCCTCCTCCTTCATCGCCGGCCGCTTCTTCTTCTTCACTTCCTCGGGCTGGGGGGGCGAGACCACCCACACGGCCGGGTTACCCCACTGCGCCTGCGCCCCTCCGTCCTGGGGGAGCGCCTGGCCCCCCACTTCCCAGCCCCTGCAGTCCGCTCCCAGGCCAGAGCTCACTGTAGGACAGCTGTGCTCCTTTGCAGTGCCTTTCCCTCCGAGGTACACCGCAGCTCGCTGCGCCAGACGGCCCAGTGACGGCAGACCCAGTGCAGAAGAGAGAACCAGTTTACCCGCGGACCCCAGTGTCCTCTGTACCCCCATGCAAACCCGTCACCACCAGCAGTGTTTATTACTGCCAATA